ATTTTTCTTTCTCTTTCCATGAATCTATGCAGAACATTACAGAAATGGATTTTGTTCTCTTTACATTCAGATTAGCATTGACTTGTCCACAAATAATCTAGTGTTGCATTTTAAAAACAAATTTACTCATGTTTTCTCAGAGAGTTGGAGAAAACAACCTCAGGCTGTAGGAAGAGTATATGTGAACACCTCCCCCCACACACACTTTCCCTCATATCATTGTAAGCTGAAAAGCAATATTTTTGCAGGCATCTTCCATATAGTTCTATCAGCATAGAGTCCAGTGGTGCCTATACTGTATGCTGACCTAATTCCAAAAATATAATGAAGATATGAAAAGGAAATTAAAAAATCTAAACATAATTTCCTACTGAGCATCTATCTCTCCTGAAGATGCCATTGGGAAACAATTTCATGAAAGTCATTGATGGGTTAGCGCAAAGAGTGGATGCTTCCATCTTTTCTTTGTTAGTAATCCCTGGCAAGAGTCCAACTCGCTCCACCAGAAGTTCATTGCATTTCTAAAAATGCATGTGCACATCCCTGAAGATGAAGAGACCAGCAAGACCTGCTATGAGGTTCCATTTGACGGTCTCAGAATGTATCAGGTGCAGACGCTTGTTAGACATAGACTAGAGCAGAGAAACCATCCTTTTCTTAAATACGCCCGTATAAAGGACGTTCTTGATAAGATACCACAGTTGGAAGAAGAAAATAACACTACAGTAGTGTTAGTTGGCCTGGAAGTAAGCTTCAGTTACTCAAGCCAACACATTCAACAACAGAGACAAAAAGGAATCAGTGGCTGTTCATGGTAGTTAGGGAGCAACAACGTACAGACTGCTGGATTCAGACATCTATTAAAACCTAGGATCTGGGGGAGAGGGGAGATGGGGGTGAGAGGGAGGGGAAACTGTGGTCAGGATGTATTGTATGGGAGAAGAAATTATTTTCAATAATAAAAAACCTAATTGAGCAATACTGTTTGCACAGGTCTTGCATAAGACACACAAATGCACACATAGATGTCTAAACAAAGACCTTCTGAGAACAAAAGCACTATTCATAATTGTGGTGTGACAAAGGAGGTATGATCTGAACATAGGCTGCTTTAGTCTTTCAGAACCACCAAAGGGACTAGAAAGAATTTATAAACTAAAATGCAAAAGTCTCGGTGAACACTTAAGCACGAGCTTCACCTGCAGACTCTTCCCATCCACAGAAAGTAAAACAGAGTGTCTCCAGAGTTATCCCACAGACTCATCTGACCCTCTAGACCTCACCTTTTGTGAATTCCCTGAACTGGGCTTTGCTATTCCCAGATCTGGAGTAACACTCACTTGCTCTTCTCCTGGTGGGAAAGGTGTTTTATAAAGATGGTAAAATTTCCTTGATGAGGACAGAATTGGTTGGGTGTGCTTCTTTTCAGGAGGCTTTGGATTTGTGCATGACTCTGGGAACTGAATTTACATTTAAGTGACTTTCTATAAGCCATTTTCTAACGTCATATGTGTGCTTTCTGTATAGTAGCACTTATATACTCGTTGTAGAAAAAAAGAAAATACAAAAGGATGTATTAAAGAAGATGATATAATCTGTAAACTCAGTATCTAGTGAGGAAATGAATTTCTGAAGACATTGGATACATATTAGTAAGCCCAAGATATTGGTATATTTCCACATGTGAATTTTAGATAGCTAAGACTAGGCTGTATATGTGGTTTTCCTCCTTGTATCTGAAGTCATTATATTTTAATTTTGTAATGCTCAATTATGGAACCTCATGGTTGTTTATGGTTGGTCTTATACAGATATATATCATTGATTTGATCTATGGAACAGTCCTGTGAAGTAGGCACATTTATCATTTTACATATGTAGAAACTGGGGTAAGTTAGATTGCATGTGGCCTTGCTTAAGATTTCATTACAAGTAAACACAGATATGGCATTTGAACTAAGTCCGAGTAATACAGTAGCTTGAGTACTTAAGTTTTAGGCAGTGTTGTCTGACTTCAGTTACAAAGGCAGACTCTATTGCATTTCTTATTTTTTAAGCCATGAATTCATACAAAGAACAGAGGGTTTATACAATGATTGTATTGGCCTCCCGTACTCTTATTCTCTTAAATGTGCATAACAATAAATTCGTTAAGTTTTTAAGAGTCTAACCATAGATCCAAAGATATCTCAACCCTCATCAGAGACGCTTCCATTTATTCAGAACATGTTGATTATACAGCAACCCACAACTGGTCAACATATCAAGAATAAATATGAAGACCATGTAGTGTTCATCTCTAAATTTGACAGCTTTATCAGAAGAGGGTGGAAAGATTATAAGAGCCAGTGGTAATGGACATGTGTAGCAAAACAGTATTTGCAGGGCATGATAGTGCTGCTGCATACAAGAACTCATACCAATTCTGACTGTATGCAGAAGGCTTGCCAAGACTAACACAGCTGAACTCACAGTCTGGATGGGAGGGAGCTCTTGAAATCCCTCCCTTAGCCCTAGTGTGAAACTATTGCAAATGGTGGCTGCAGGGGTGGGGGGAGTAAGTTTTCTTTAGAGATTCAACCCTGGAGAGGCAACACTCGTGCCAGTAAGTCTCCATATGCCCCTGCACATACAGTAGCAATAAAGGACTAACTGGGCTTAAGAAAAGAGCACGTGGAGTGGGGGAGGAATAGTGGTGAAGGGAAAGAGGAGGAATTGGAGGGGAGGGAAAGGAGGGTGGATTCAATCAGAAAGCATGCATGAGATTTTCAAACGATAAACAAAAAAGGAAGCAACGATCAGGAAGGACTTAAAGAGAAATGCACAAATATGGCGTGTGCTGCTGTTATACCTGGACAGAGTCGACTGCTGGACCTGATAGCATTTGGTTAAACCCTATGTCTGTCTTGTACTGACGCTCACACATATGAGTAGATCTTCCAATAGGAACAGCATATTGTCATCCTTCTGCCTTGTGAGCCTCATAAAGCACCACTTTCTGAGTTTACTCAAATGGACACTTGTGCCCTGTACTGTGAGAGATCATGCAACAGGAGAAAGCTGAAATAATGGGCTCACAGATCGTGAGGCAGATCGTGATTCACTGAGCACCCCCCAGCACAGTACACCTAGGTTATAGCCTCCATGGCTACACATTCAGTTGGCTCATGCCCCCATCTGCACGCACCTTAACTACTGATCCATTTGATTTATACCAGGAGTGATCTGGTTTGTGGTTCCTCACCCTTTAAGCATGTGTGCTGCCTGCAGAGCCACTTGGGGGCAGCACCTGCTCACTGCCACGGCAGCTGGGGCCCACCACTGTGTGCTGTCTCCTAACAGGCCTCTTCATTCTCTCATAGCTGCAGATCCCGGGGTTGTCAACTCGTATTGCCAACCAAGCTTCTTCTCCCAAATGAAGGCTTCTCTACACTGTCTTTTATTTCATTCCTGCACACTGAACAACACTACCTTATTATGGGAATAGCTTCTTTGGCCTCTGGGTAATTCTGTCTCTGTTGTAAGAAGACTGTACTATGGTCTGGGTTGGAGGCAGGTGCCTTGCTGCCTGCCATCCCTTATCTCAATTCCTTTTCCATCCTCTTAGAATCTCTTCCTTCATGAAAGCCAACTCATGGGGAAGGAGGATGTCAGCTAGCTGCCAATCCTGCACTTCTGACAGATGTATTTATTGATTGAATCTTTAGTGCAGAAACTATCTCCCTACCTAGGGCTTCAATGAAAGTTTTGAGCATTACTCTTTTCCCACACGGTTTCCTTAGAGCAGATCTCTAAAGCCTAAAGGACAAAGGATGATGGTTTTAAAGTTGCGATGTGTATTATTAACAAGTTGATTCCAAAAGTTGCATTGATTTGTACTTCAGCAATCAGTGACAATTCTTGAATTTGTTCCTTGGATTTCTACATTCTGAACTGCATAGTACTTTACCTATCTATCTAGACATCATGGTGTGTGTGTGTATGTGTGTGTGTGTGTGAGAGAGAGACAGAGACAGAGACAGAGAACATGCCTGATGTATTTGCTCAGTTAACTGTAATTATCATAATTGCAACTGTAGAATGAATGAAAGGCTTTCTTTCAGAGACTGAATGAGCACATCACTAAGGGATAGGTTTATCTGTAACTGACTCTAAGTCTAGAGTACTAGTGGCTCGAACTTATACTTCATTTTTTCTCCTTGGCAGTATAAATCAGAGGCCACTCAGGCCAAGGCCAATGTGAAATCCCTGGAACCCAGGGTTTTCATTTTCTATTTCAGGGACATTTTCCAGAGGCTGCATATCCAATCTCAAAATGAAGTAGTCTTTGGAGGCTCAACCTCACAGGAGTTTGAGGAAGGCAGTCTTTGTTTCAAGTGATCATTTCTCAACTAAAAACGAGGAAAGCTAAATAAAGAACAGGTAGAAAGGAAAAAATAGAAGCATCTATTCTAGAACCATGGAAGCACAAGATGTGATATCTGTTCTTAAATTACTCACGGTTTCCTTTTTTCCTGGAGTGCCTATGTTCCCCATTTATATAGTAAACACAATGGTGTGGATGATGGGCTACTTTTCCCTTTCCTTTAATTATAGTCTGCTTTTTCATTGACATAGATTATAATTTCAAGATGCTTAAAATTCATCAAATGATTGTAAGTTCTCACGCCCTCCAGTTGCACACCCTATGTGGTGATCAATTGATCTTAGAATAAACACTCCAAGGCAGCTGGTGAGTTGTGAAGCTGGGAGTTTGCTTCATCACCTTTCTATGACAAAAGAAGAATGAGAGTGCACCAAAATCTCAGGAAGCAAAGAAAGAAGCAAAGAGATGAGGAATGGAAGACAGGCGGTCTCCATGCAGGGAGCAAAGAATGAAAGAGGATATTCTCCATGAAAAACATCTCAGTTATAATAATTTAACTTTCATTTCCCAAGTCATAGATGCAAATATGGACAGCCAATGGAGTTTTTAATGGAAAGATACACACCAGTGACTTTATAACTCAAGAATTCAACCCCAAGTGCACAACTAGCAGACAGTTACTACAATATGATTTCCCTAGTTATTGTCCAATTGAATAAAGACTAGTACAAGTTTAATAGATTAGCACCATATGCATAAAATAGGTTTAGATCCCAGGAGTCTTGAGTTCTTGCTCAACAACCATAGTTATTGGAGAAGGTCTTTCTGCTGCATGATTATTTGGGTCAAACTTTCTGGTCAAATTCCACATCCATCTTCGTGGAGCTTTCTCACCTCTTACCTGAGCTACATAGACAAGCAACATGCCTTCCTCAGAAGCATCTTCTGAATGAGGTACCCTGTGTATAGTTGATTCTCAGTTTGCATGTATCTATTGATTGATGACTTTTACCTACGTGCCTGATTGCATGTGCTACTGTACCTTTAAAAATCTGTATACCATTTATCACCACACAAAGTAAAAGCAGAAAATAATAGGTGTTGGTCAGGGTGTGGAGAAAATGGAAAGCTTCCATTGCTGGTGGGAATGTAAAATGATTTGACTCCCATGGGAAATAGTTTGGCAGTTTCACAAAGAGCTAACCATAGAATTACCATAGGATCCAGGAAGTGCACCTGAAAAAAGGAATGAAAACAAAATTCAAACTGATGCTCACAGGCCGATGTTCACCATAGCATATTTATAAAAATCCCAAGTAAAAACAATTCAGATACCTAGCAACCAAAGAATGGAGAAACAATGAAAACAGTACGCTAAGTACAGTAAATTCAGACAGAGTGTAACGGATCATATTAGTCTGTTTCTATGAAATAGCTAGACCAAGCAAGTTCACAGAAACAGAAAGTAGGTTAGAGGTGTCTAGGGTTAAAGGGAGGAGGAACTAGGTAGGTTAAATGCAATAAATTGGTAGTTTTTCTTTGGGTTACAGTGAAAGGTTAAGGGAAAAGATCATGGTGCTGTTTGCATAATTATTGAATACAATTAATGGCATTGATTTATACATTAACAGTAGCTATAAATTTGTTATATATATTACCACAAAATTATCTTCCTTGGTCCTTTAAAATATTTATTTATGTTTCTATGCCTGTGAGTTATGTGTACTTGTATGCGCATGCCTGCAAGCACACCTGTGGAGGCCAGAAGCCTCCTCTATCACCCTCCTCCTATCTTTGTAGTAAGTACTCATGAGACCTGGGGGCTAGCTAGGAAGCCATCAGGATCTAGGAATTCTCCTGTCTCTGCTCCCACTACCTTCAAAGCTGGGGTTGCCAGTTCGTATGAGATGCCTGGCTTGTTGTATCGGCGGCACTGGGATTTGAACTCTGACCCCTATGTTTGTGCAGTGGGCACAAATGCTCTTAATCACTGAGCCATCTCCCTACCCTCCACTGATCTTTCACATGTAAATGGGATTCCATTGAATAATTTATAATGAATTGTCCCACTGTCTCATTTAGTACTGGTGGTCTTTTGAACTCACTCCTTCCAGACAGACCACCCAACCCTGCTTTGATGCTGATGAACCTGTTTAGAGAGTCCACATCCTAAGCTGAAGAGACCCCTACAAAGCCCTTACATTCTTAGCTCAACCTTTGTATGCCGATCCTTTTGAGGATTCAATGCCCAGAAAACTCTACCAAGGTCAACTGATCTTTACAAGTGACCCTGCTATAATTATAGCTTCTGATTAGGAATGGTCACCACTCCACCACTCACTGGAGTATTTGAAGATCTGGCTGAACATTTCTTAATTAAGGAGTGTGGAATCAATCCACAGAAGCCCAGGAAAAGATTTAATACCAGAGTAAAAGTGTTCTTATTTAAGAAGAAGAGATGTACAAAAAGGAAATGCTCAAGACAATCAAAGACTTGAATCTATGACTCCCAAAACTGTGACAAAAAGTAAGATATCCAGGAAAACAGGAACTTAAGACACCCTGTAAGGTCTATGGCATTGCAAATCATTGGGGGTCAATTTTATTTTATTTACCTTCACAGTAAGTGGAGAAGAGGTGATGGAAAGCATTTTATCCCACATTTTATAGTTCATCTGAGAAGGTTAAGTGCTTGGCTAAGGTCATATTGCCATAGGGACCAGCCTGAAAATAGAACTCAGGTGTCTGACTGTAGGCCAGGGCTCGTTCCATGATGGTGCATCTGGCCGCTTCTAGGAGACAGAATCTAATGATGCCCAGGAAATGCCACACATAAAATGGCTGTTTCTATTCTAAGCCTCAGGTGGGGGCAGTGGCGGCCAGGGGCATGTGTAGGGATGCCATCCTGGATTTGGAGTTCTTTTTTGTGCCTGTGCCACTCCAACTGGCAAAAACAAGGCATAGCTGAAGATTAAATGTCCTGAACATTATTAGCCCATTAGATGTCTTGACACCTACTTCTAGAACCCTGCTCCATTTAAAGCCCTCAAGCTCTGCTGGTCAAGTTTCTAAAATGCTCTTGGAGCATTGTCTTCTGTCTTACTGTAATTCTGCAGAGAGAAAATACTCTCATCTACTTGGGGAAAGAAAAGAAAGTCTTTTTACTCCAGGGCTCAAGTTTCTAAGGGGAGAAAAAAATCCCTTTAGCATCCTACCCCTGCCCTGGGTGACCAGCTTGTCCCAGTCTGCCCATGACATTCCAGGCTGAAGGTCCCATGTCCTCTCCTTAATCCAGGGTAAATTGGGCAGCCCTGATTTTCTGTACCAGGTCCAAGTTCTCCCCATCTGACCCTGCTGGGATAGAAAGCTGAGAACAGCAAATGGCAGTCCTTAGTTCTTAACAGAGGGAAATGCCATTTAAAAATTCAAATTACTTAATGGTTTATTAGTGTGTGTGTGTGTGTGTGTGTGTGTGTGTGTGTATGCCACAGTACAGACGTAGACGAGAGGACAATTTGTGGGAGTCGGATCTTCCTATGTGAGTCCCAGCAATAAAACTCAGGTTTGTCAGGCTTTGTGGCAACTCTGTTTATTGCTGAGCAATCGCCTTGGTCTGAAAAAGCATTTTCATGGTGCTTCCTACCTAGGCACAATGGTATTGATTAGGAATTCCTTCCTTCTCCCTGGAGGGGATAAATCACACATCTGTGGTTTGATCCACATCCTTTCCTCTGTAGGTCAAGAATGGAGGTGACAGGCTTCTTGGGGGTGAGATTCCCAGTTCCCTAGGAATGGAAGGAAGCAGTTGAGGCTGACTGGAGATGAGAGGAGACGGTAGTGCCACTTATTTTTGTTAGCATGAAATTGGAACTGGCCTGTTGCCCCAGGGAAAACTCTCCAGGTTTCCACTGAACTTTCTAGAACAGCTAGGAGAGAATTAACCTACAAGGTCAGTCAGTAAGTGAAGTGAGGTAACTAAGAGGATCCAGCATAAACCAGTTTGTCTTTCATTTTTCTTTGCAAAGTAGGTTTGATGCTCTTGGCTGGCTTGAACCCAGCCTGTCACAGCAGGTTACAGGAAGCTCTGCGTTAGCAGAGGTCAAGGTACTGCCATGCCAAGTGTGGCTGTTTTCTTAGGAAGATGAGTTCGCTGTCCATGGTGAGATGTGTTCCATCTTGCCACCAGGCGTTTCCTGCTCTGGCTTCACCACTTCAGGACATGACCACTTGATAGCTCCTGGCGGTTGTGGGGAGCAATCTAGTTCAGCTTTCACTGTCTCGGAGGGAGTTTCCATCCCAATGCCCAAGGTGAGCTCTCTCTCCGCTGTGCGTGCCAGGGTTATGTAAACTGCAGCTGCTGCTGCGCAGCGGCTGCGCAGAGCTGCGGGGTGGCGGCACAGTGCTGCAGAGGCTGCAGTGCTGCAGTGCAGACGTTCCGGAAGCCCGCGGCAGGCGCCCACCAAGAGAGTGATGGAGCCCGGGGCACTAATGTTCAGGCATGGGGATGGGGTGGACTGCCTTGTTAGGGTTTGCTGTGACAATGGGAGGGGTGGCAGAGTGTGGGAGAGTGTTGAGGACTCAGTTGAGTATATTCTGCAGGAAGAACTGGGCTAGGTCCTTCAGGGCGCGCTGCTGCCCTCTAGGGCTCAGAGCATAATGACAAGAAATAGGACAAGGTCCCTGGTAACAAAGCCTCAGCAGAAAGGCAAAGCTGTGTGTTTGTGTTTTTCTGGAGGTTAGCACACCTATTGCCTCTTTCCCTGAAGTTGCTTTTCTGTTTTAGGGGAACAAGGGTGGATCATTTCGTCTGGTCTCTGAAAATCCGATGGGGTTTTCAGTAGGGAAGAGGCTATCTTGTACACCTCAGCGTTTATCCTAATCAATATAGCTGCTCTCTTTTTAACATGGCAGAGAAAGCTTTCAGTTAAAATTACAGCCCTGGCAACAGCAATTCTCATGGCCCTGGCTTGCTTGATATTGGGCAAGTGGCTTGACTTACTCACCCTCATCTGTGAAATGACCTTTTATCTTTTTCTGGCACTTTCTTTTAAGAAAATGGAACTGAGTTGCTACAGTGACTAACTATTGATGCAATATAATAGCTGCCAATATTAAGTGGAAAATTTGTGTTAAGACACCCATTTTAACACGGTAAAATCATGACTCACATACAAATGTATCATGACTACACGTCAGAGACTTTACATAGCCCATTAAATAATTAGGGAATGAGCAGGATGCCAAATGAGTTCAAAGAGAATTGTGAAGAACACACATGCACACACATGAACACACACGCGCACACACACATGTACACACGTGCGCACACACACACTCACGCACACACGCACCCCATATTGGGATAAAGAAGAAGGTTTGAAATTGCTTTTGTATTTTCAAAAGATAAAATCAAATCTGTACTAGATAAAATATGCATTTTATAGATGAAAGTCATTTGCTTTGCCTTAACTTAACTTCTAGTTCTTCAGAGTTGTAAGATTAATAATTAAATCATAGCAGCCGGGGTGCACAGCCTGTAGAATCAGTCCCAGGGAAACCTCCTGGCCAGTGCCCACTCTGCCACTGAACAGATCTTTGTTGTTGATGAGCTGGAAGACAACATGGCTTTGGATGTGGAGATGGGGAGACTGTCAAAGTCAAAACCCTGCTGATGGCACGGCTGGAGGAGAACCTGTACTCGTGGTGTTGTTCCCTTAAGAAACACTTTGGGCGTCTAGGAGCAACCCTACCATGCTTACGATGTGAGACACTGTAGAAAGCGCTTCAGTTGGGCTTTGCTGACTGGCTTAGAGAGATGCTGCTGTCTGTTTATGTCTCTGCAAGCATTGCAGCCGCCAGAGAGATCACAGGTGTTGGGGGATCCAAGTGCAAGGGAGACTTAGATCCCAGATAGATGGACGAGTGCTAAGCCAGTGGGTCCCCAAATAACGTAGCTTCTTCTTTGAGTCCCTGAGCCATATTTATGCTAACATATCTAACATATCCAGTCTCTGTTGTGAAGACCCTGAGCTGTTCTCATGCCAACACATTCGATTTCCATCCCCTGAGTATTTATACTAACACCTTCAGTCTCTGTCACGGAATGGCAGAAAATTGCTGTGACTTTGCATACCGCATTGGCAACAATTGTGACTACAAGAGATGCTGAGAATCAGACCAATTAAGACCCTTGGGGAAGTTTTCTGCTAGCTTTAAAAACCAAGCCACAGTCACACCGAGTGTCACTTACAGACCGAGGAGCCTGATGACGTTCAAACAATCCATGGATTAAACTCTTCCTTTCCTTCCTTGTTTTGAGAGAAGAACAGCAAGTTTCTCAGCATCACCATGGGGAGGACCAGAGAAGAGGATTTAGCAGATAGGTTGCAGCACTGGGTAATGTGATGGAGTTGGGGGAGACCAAGGAGGAGTAAAAGAGAACATACTGTGATAAATCAAATATGATTTATGTGTGGACTGGCAAAGCTATCTCTTTTCCTTGCTTGGGTCACATAATTAAGTCTAATTAATGGAAACTGATCCTAGAGGGAGTTCAGAGCCTATTTTTGGTTGTCATTATCCAAAGGCAGCAATCAAAATGCAGATGAGCTCTCTCTTCTTATCCCAGGAGAGACACAGGCTCCTTGCTAATGAAAGGAAAATGGTGAATGGATACTTCTCATGCCTTCCTTGCCTTTGATGGCTTCTTAGAGCTGCAGTACAGGTATAGAGGGCTGGCAGACATTTCATGTTCTGAAACAATGCCACCCACTATTGACTGCCTTTTTCCAAGACAGTCTGAGTACTGCCCTAATGTTGTCTTCTCATGCTGCTTGGGGAGAGGCAGGGGGCCAAGGACTTGTTCCTTTCTTTCTCCTTTAGCCCTAACCTGACAAAAGCTAAGTGGCTTTCCCAGAGTGTGCCTGGCCACGGAGATCTTTCACCAGAAAGGGCACTTCAGGGCATACAGTTTGGCAACATTAGCGATCCATTCTCATTCTGACCTTCAGCCTCAATAATTAGAGCCTTCTTGTCTAACTGAACAAGAAAGATCTGGGGCAGTGTGGGACAGAATTAGAAATAACCCACCAGGAGGTCCAAAGTCACCCCAGTGCAGACAGCCTTGAGCTGTAGCTCAATGGAGAAGACCAACCTGCTGGAGGCAGACAGAGGCATCCTGAGCTGTGTGCTTGCTTACTTGTTTTTTAGATAGAAAAAATGGCTCCCAACAAATTCTCTGACACACAAATCATCTCTGGATGAAATGGAAGCACACCCCTTCCCCAGCAGGGGCGATAAATTAACCTGCAGTTGCAACTACTGCGGGGTCACAGTCTCCATCCAGTCTGTCTCGGGAGAGTTCCCTCCCGGCTCCGTGCCAGCACTGCTATATTTAGCTCTTCCAGCATGTGCACTGTCTATATTTAGTGCCTAAAAGTCAGAGTTCAGCATATGATTCATTGAGTTATCTGTCATCCCTCCATTCCATTCACACGTGTAGAAAAACCCTCTTTGGGATGTGGGGTGGTGGTGGTGATGGTGGTGGAAGCCATTCTAAGAATGAAGGGTTGAACTCATAGGCCAAATGGGGTTTCCTGATGCCCCTGGTATGCAGCGAGGGCCTGAGAGTGCCAGACCCCGAGCCAAGAGCCAGGGCACGGGTGTGGCTCCAGAGGGAAAAGGGAGGATGGAGGGCAGATGGAAAGCTCAGAAGTGGACAGCAGATCCTGCTGTACCCATGTGATCCCCATTGACATTGCAGAAAAGTGGTCATGACTCAGTAAGTCTCCTACTTAGATGTTACCTTTTGGTGGAATATTTCCATGAGACACCTCAAATAAACTAGGAGCCCCCCCACTGTAGAGTTTCCCTCCCTGACTCTCCACACCAGCTCCCTGTCAAACTTCAGTGTGCAAACAGATGACTGGGGACATAACTAAAATTCACGTTCCAGCTTGGTGTCCCTGGCTTAGCCCCCTGGTTCTGCCTTTCCAATGAGCTCACAGGGGATTCCCAGGCTGCAGGCTGAGCCGGTCGTTCTGCTGTCATTGCCTGGTTATGTGCTGACTTCTGTCTTAGAGCATAAGGTGGTGGTTTTCAACTTGTGGGTCGCTCATAAGGTGATAATTTTTGACCCCCTTGGGTCAAATAACTTTCATGGCAGGGGACACACACATATATATCAGGTATCCTGAATATCAGATATTTACATTATGATTCATAACAGTAGCAAAATTACAGTTATGAAGTAGCAATGAAAATAAGCTTATGATTGAGGGTTGCCACAACATGAGGAACTGTATTAAAGGGTCTCCGCATTAGGAAGGTTGAGGACCACTGGAAGGGAAGCCTGGGGGATGAATTGAGGTAGAATTCATGCCAGGATTCTTGACTGGTAGAGTGGAGTCTTCAGGGGATGAAAGTGTGAGTTGACTGGTGACAGCATTCCTGAATAGCTGCTGAGTGTTCTTCATTTCCAAGTCCTCCGCTACTGCCGTCAGACCTGCAGGCCGGTGTGACTGTGTGTCTAAAGGGAAACCATCCTGGCACAAGACGTGGGTTCCTAGACGTCAGTTCAGGTCCTGAACTGCTCTTACCTTTCCATCTGTAGACCTTTTCTTCAGAATAAGCACTGCTGCATAGACGCCCCACCCGGAGCCGGAGGTGAGGTGAAGAGGCCGACATTTTCCTACACCTGTAGAATAACCCACGAGAATGTTGCCTGAGTCTACAAAAGAGTCAGTATAATAGAACACTGGCAATAGAGTGGGCCAAAAGGAAACCCACCATCCAGTTAAGGAAGAGGTAGTGACTGTCACTGAGGAGTCATGGGGAAGGTAGCTGTCTTTCAACATTCAGACCACCAGAGGCCAGGCCCTCATTTGGGTTGGCTATTATGGGAACACAAAAGTGTGGGGGAATTTCTGAGAACAACAGACAGAATGATGGTGTTTCTTCACCTTTGCTGTTCTAAGCACCCAACTGGAAACCGCTATAACTCTAGCTCTAGGGGATCTTTTGGCCTCTTTGGGTACCCACAATTATGTATAGACACACACACACACACACACACACACACACACACACACACACGCACGCACGCACGCACGCTTACATCCATGCTTAAAAGTAAAATTTTGGGGCTGGAGATGTGGCTCAGTAGCTAAATGCACTTAAGTCTCTTCCAGAGGACCAGGATTTGATTCTCTGAACGCATATGGAGGCTTACAAATATCTGTAATTTCAGTTACAAACACTCTCTTCTGGTCTCCTTGGGTACTAGGCACACACAGTGGTGCCCAGACATACAAGCTCATATACATAAAATAAATGTTTTTCATAAACAAACAGTTTCAAAGTTTATTTTAAAATATAAATATTTCCTGGTACTTAACATGTCAGGAAAATAGTATATTGATTATATTATAGATGTTATATTTTTATTTTTTGAGTAATACAGAGTAAAAATATTTACACACCTACTTCTTTTACATCCACAGATTATCACTCTTATTTGTATGGCTTTAAAAATTATAGTACAAAATCTGTGCATTAAGAATTGTGGAAGAAGGTTCCATTCAAAACAATATTTTTTTAAAAAATAGAGTCCTTAAAATTAAATGGACAGAATTATTGCTCCAGAAAGTCTGTGGCATGTGAATATAGTACCTAAGGATGACTTAGCAGACAGGTTCTTTTGAGGACCAATAGCCTTGTAGTTACATTATGACACTTCTAGTGCCTTCTAAGTGACTAAAACAAGATTACCTTATTTCTTATCATTAAACATTAGTAAGTGTTGTAGTATCAAAATTATTATTTATGAAAATAAGCTTACGTTTGCTTCCCTTTACAGAGAACATTTAAGTAAACTGCCAGGCTGCCCTATTCAAACCCAGACAGCATAGCTGGCCTGGACACGAAGTGTGACCTGTGGCTCTGTTGCTTCATAGCAGGACATGCTATGTATCCAGTACACTTCCCTTTTGGAAGTGGATATAAGATTCAGCCTGTGGCTGTATCCTTTCACTACAATTCTATAGATCTTAGTTTCCTCTTCTAGAAAGCACTGAACTGTTGCTCATTTTAAAATACTAACTGTGGAATTAAAAGAAAGCCTGTGCCTGCTGTTAACTCAACGACAAGCCTGCTAGAGAACACATCTAACTCTGAGTTCTTCTTTGAAGAAGTAAGAATTAGTCAAGGAGGGATGAACACAATACGGAAGACAGCATTGGCTCACAAATTAATTGTGCTGCACAGTACATGAATAAGTTTCAGATAAGGCAGAGATGGGGTAAGATGAGATCAAATCACACAGTCACACCAGACAAACTTTTTCTTGTGGGTTAGTCTTCCCTGCAAGATTGAGTTTTATATTAAAGACTGTAGGAACCTGGCAAAGGATGAAAATCAGATCAGTAGAAGCAGTGGGGACAAGGATTACAAGAAAAGCTGAACCCGGGGAAGATGATAGCGGCGGTATGACAAAGTGATCTGAGACCACTTGAGACTGTGGTGTAATCAAGAGAAATAAAGGAAGAAGAATCCAGAGATCTTGGTGATATAACTAATCAACTAGACATAAAAGTTGAGAGAGAATAAATAATGAAAAGTCTCATGGCTTTTCATATCTAAAAGACTGCATGAGTAGTATATGAGGATTTGGGACATGTACTCACAACATGTACCTGATGAAGAGCATCTTGCAAAAACCTGCACCTGCTTATGATTCCTAATGTTCTTGATTACTTTGCTGGATTTCCATTAGATTGGCCGTCCAGTAGAAATCCTGTAGCTTTGGTGCCCAGAAGTAACATGACCTATTGTCATCTCAGAAGATCACTCTGGCCATGGCTTAGTAAACACGACAAATGAACAAGGATGGAAGAAAGAAAGCCAGTCCATTGTCTTTGAAGTCACAGGAAAGATACTGGAGTCTTTGTGAGGGTTAGTTATGGGCATGGACTGGTCATATGAAAAGGTCTAGTAATGTGTGACTAAGAATATATTTAAATCTATAAATAGTGGAAAACTCCACAATGTAGCCTTATGCACTGAATCTCCAGCATGCTCATCTGAATGTCATTGCTATCTAGTTTCTTTAGTGCTTGGGCGTGCTTAAGTATCTGTTTCACAACTGAAAATTTAATTATTTTGTTCCTCAATTTTCAGTATCACTTTGTAAGCACCACCTTGTTATTCTCAATAAACTGGATCCACTAACCCTTGAGGTTTTGAAAATCATTCTTTTGGAAACATTGATAGTTCTTACTGTACTGGCAACCCCTTACTAAATTAAAATACATACTTTATAGTTATAATATTAATGATTATGTTTAATAAGAGAAACTAAATCCATAATTGAATTCTATTTTAATGTAATGATGTTTTCTTGCTAAGAGTTTACTACAGATATTACAGTTCATTGGGTTACTCAGTGAATAT